CAGTATTGTGTCCCTCTTCATTCCTTCTCTTATGTTTATAACTCTCTGTTTTCTTCCACGACGTTTGATTTCACCTCCTCTGAGTCCGAGCTGACTCGGCGAGGCGTGAGGCTTCGATTCAAGAGTTTTATTGAGATTGTCTCCAAAGAACCGCATCTGTGGAAGCGGTACACGGCGAGGGGTCGGTTCACGATGATGCCCGAGGTCCCGTTTGAGAAATTTCGGGTTGGATCTCAGTTCTTCGTGTTGACTAGAAAGCACGCGGTGGTGGTTGTCAATGATCGGTCCTTGTGGAGGAAATTCAAGATTCCTTGCCATAGTGTCGACAATTGTTACCCAGAAGAACACTATTTTCCAACTCTTCTTTCGATGATGGATCCTAATGGCTGCACCCAATACACGCTTACTCGGGTTAATTGGACAGGAACATCTAATGGCCATCCTTATGCGTATCAGAGTGCTGAGATTTCTCCGAAGCTTATTCACCAGCTCCGGAAATCGAATTATTCGGAATCCTACTTGTTTGCCCGGAAATTCACACCGGATTGCTTGAGACCGCTCATGAGTATTGCCAAGTCTGTGATTTTCCGGGACTGAGATCCTTCACTGGTAAGAAGAATGTTAAGAAGTTGTTATTTACTTGATTTTTAGCTCGCCTTCTTGCTTATTCCTTTTATTTTTGAATGTTGGGTGGTGTTTGAAAATGGACCACCATTACCATTTTAGTTTTTGATCTTGCAGTCGAGTCTTAAATTTGGAGTTTTGTATGTTCTTGGGACTTGAAGAACATTAGAAATTCAGCTTTTGCAATCTTGAATTGTGTAATTTATCTGAAAATCATTCATTCTTCCTTTGAAGAGAAAACATAGAAATCAAAATGATTCTTATGTCGTCCGTAGATTATGAACTCTTTCAGCTAACTCTAGGGAACAGAGTAGCAGTAGCTTATGTCCTGGTGTTTGATTTATTACAGGCTAATGACAAAAAAGATGCCACGCCAGTGCTGTAGCTTTGCTTCTTGATAAGGAAGAAGAAAAAGAAAAAGTTTTGTGTGGGAATATGGCTATGAAGAGGCGCCAAAGTGCCCACAGCCTGTAAGCCCACAAGTATCCAGACTGCGGAACTGCCAGTCCAGACAAAGCGTCGGACAAAACCATTTTTTGTTCAAGGAAAAAGAACAGTTCGAGAAAGAGATGCGAGTGAAGCAGAAAGCAAGGTACTCTTGTTGAAAGTTGTATTTTATTTTTAACTTCTTCCACTTTTTGTCCCTTGTATTTTGATAATGTAACTGTAGAAAGCGGAAGAACAGAATGAAAAATGGAATTGTTCTCCTGTCTTTCCTATGGTTTTTTCTTTTGTACATATGTAATATCATGGAAGGAAGCTCTAAGAAATTGAAGAATGGAAAGGAATATTGTTCATTGTCATGCTTTATCCTCTTTCATTTTCTACTTCTTTTCTCGCCAGAAACCGCAAGTAGTTTTCCTTTACACTTCTCAATAAGTCTATAGTTGAGAAGCCTGAGTTTTTATATAATCTATGTTTGGTTATAGAAATTTGAGTTTATGCCACCTGTATTTAGTTTGTAGTTGTATGATTCTTAAATGTTATTATATTGAATAAAAGAAGTTTTATAGACTTGTTCATATAACTGGAGTTCATGTAGTTTATGGGATTAATGAACTCGTAATTTGAGAATAAGCAAACCACATACCAAACATAGGTTCAGAGTCAAAGTGTAATTCTTGACCCGAACACCTCTAATGATATTGGAATTAGTAGGCACAGGCTTTAGAGTCAATTGGGAAGTCACTGGTTTGAGTTTGATGACGGCCTTGGGATAAATCCAGTGTGCTGCTTTGCTTAGCTAATGCTTTCTATCTTCTTTTCCTGTTGTTTGCAACTAAATGTCTTTCTGGATGCTATAGAGAAAGTATTCTCATTCCCAACCATTTTATTTTATATTGAATCTTGATGCTTTGAGGAAGAACGCCTCCTCTGTCGTGGGAATCGTCAGAAATTCCGTGGGTCAGAGTTCTTGCATTGCCTCGATATATAGGGTGAGTTCTTAACAAGAATATAAGCTTCTCGTGGATGGTTTAACTGATATGTTGTTTTTGTTTCTTACTCCTTAATTTTGGTCCTACTGAAATCTAATTTGTGGATTCTAATGAGAGCATCTTCGTTCCTCTTTCCTTTAGATTTATTTTGTTAGTTAGAGAGCATATGTTTCAGATATTGGATTCCACCAAACACATTTTACTTTCTCTGTTTTTAGAGTTCACCGCAAAATAAAGTTGCCTAGTTTCTGAATTGAATATTTAGCTTTCAAATTCTGCTACTGCTACCAAATCATTTGAAGAAATATGTACAATTTTTTTTTTCCTGTTTGTTGAATCTATTGTTTTCATTAGTAGGTATGTTCATGCAAGTTGAACCATCACTGGGTTTTAGTGGGTAAAATTAGTTGAACCAGTTAGTGAGTCTTTAGTTGAACCATAATTACTGCCTCAGTAACTATTTCCCTTGTTTTCTGGTGCTGGAAAACTCTTTTTTTTTTTAGGGCAAATTGAGACTTGAAACTTATGTCATAAGTGTTAACACTCAAACCTCTTACCAATGTGCCAACATGGAGGTGCTGGAAAACTCTGTTATTCAATACCAATGTGCCAACATGGAGGTGCTGGAAAACTCTGTTATTCAATAGTCTGATTAATGGATACTTAAAAGAAGCCCTTATATGGGCTTAGGTCCTAGACTGGCAATCTGCTAAACCAGTTCCCTACCAGGTTAAACAGTAAATTCACAATCAAGTAGTTACATCAAATAGGAAGGATCTCTGTTGGTTTTTCATTTATTTATTTTAATCTCATGAGGGGGGAGATTTGAACCTTTGATCTTTGCCTTTACTAGATTTGAACCTTTGATCTTTGCCTTTACTACATAGCTGTACTCATGTTGGCTGAGACGGGGGAATATTCAACCAATTGAAAGTTGTAAATTTCCTAAGAAAAATTGCATAGGATACAAGTCTTGGAGGAGCGAGAGAAAAATAGAAAACAAGAAAAGGACAATTGAAAGTTGTAAATTTCCTAAGAAAAATTGCATAGGATACAAGTCTTGGAGGAGCGAGAGAAAAATAGAAAACAAGAAAAGGACAAGCTCAACGATTAGCAATACAAATACAATCCGATAACCAAAAACTGCCCGGACGGCAAACAAACTAAGGCCAAGCAAATGAAGCTCCAATCTAATCCCAACTTAGATGTAGAAGGATCCTCAAGCTCTCTCTTGCCAAGGAGCGGCTTGAAGGATACTGCTCTGGAATATGAAAGATAACTAAAACTCATTGATGTGAGAAAGATGTTTCGATTTTCTTTCTATTTTACTGTTACTTGTATTCACCATTTGGGAATGGACCAAAGTCCATTTCTTGAACAGTAGGCAATAGGATCAAATCTGACTGCAGACAACTTTGAAAGGAGATTTCTTTATAGATTTGTTTGGGGCATTCTGTTGAAATAAAACTCAACTAGAGCAAAATTTAAGCACTTTCCATTCACATAGGTCTTCCCAAACAAGTACGACCAATGGGGTTACCCAATGTTCAAGGTTCTTAATTTCTCCCTTAGGATTTTCCAAGAATGACCAAGAAACTGACTTCCCTCACAATGTATTTGATTGGAGAATGAGAATCCCACGCAGACGAACAATTTCTCTGAAAAATATCACAATTTCTCTGAAAAATATCACAAGTTCACAACGAGGGACGACATGACCCCTTTGCATTCATGGTCAAATGCTCTCAAAAGCCATTGGAAGTCGAGAATGGTTAATAGTGCCCTATATTTTTAGTCCAACAATGGCGGGTGGGAAATGGGAATCGATCTAGTGACTTTTTGGAGGGTAATAGGTGCGTTATCGACTCAGCTATGCATGGAGTAATTTTCTAGATATATTAAATTCATATCATGTTTTAAATCTTAAAAATAGAGTCAACATGAGTTTAGCTTAGTGATAATTAGTACCCCTCTCACCAAGCAATCATGAGTTCGAAGATAAGTCTAGTTCTTAAATTTCCAAGATTGTGTCTTATTAGATATTTGAAACTCTTACTAAGTTGCAATTTTGTATCTAATAAGTCGTGGGCTCATTCAACAATTTCTAAAACTCATGAATCTATTAGAACAAAATCTAACGGTTCAATTCTTTGTCTAATAGATCCATGAATTTTTAAAAATATATATATATAACATTGGAATCTATCCAACACAAATTTGAAAATTTAGAAATTTATTAGGAGATATTATACACAAAATTAAAAGTTTATGAACTAGTTTAGAAACTAAACTCATAATTTGTCTAAAAATGAACTCCATTCGGTGTTATTCTCCCACGTGAAGAACAATTAAAATTCAAATGTATATTTACCATTGACGTAGATCACACCCCATTATTTTGTGGCTTGATTTAATGTTCACCCCAAACACAAGCCAAAACAATTCCCACTCTTTAATATATCACTTTATTTATTTATTCAATTCTTTACTTGTCCAACAAATCTACATCAATAATCCCTTTTCTTTTTTCAACAAATCGTTGTCTTGTTCTTCTATGTTTATCTTCAATCTCCCTCCATCCTAAAAAAATCAAATCAATCATCTCTATCTTTTATAATAATATATTATTGTCTTGTTCTATGTTCATCTCCATCTCCCTCCATCCTAACAAATCCTAATTAATAATTTCTATTTTCTAATATATCATTGTCTCCTTCTACGCTTATCTATTAAAAGTCATCCAAGCTAAATCATGTCTCGATATATCTCTTAATATTGAGATTATTCTATCACGATATCTTTTAACTTTCAAATATTTCATTATAGTTTTTTAACTTCACGTAAAAATCATTTAATCCACATCATTAATTATTTAGTAAAATCCTAACATTTGGCATATACTTATATCTACATATATAGTTGAAGGTATTGATTTAAAGTTGAATTAAATTAATATGGTGATGATAATAATGTAGTGGTGATTTGTCAAATAAGCTCAATTATTGCGAGTGATTATTGTTATAATTAATTATTAAAATAATATGTTAAGTTTATATATGGAGAGCATCACGTGGGATGAAGCATGCAGCTGAATTTGTTGACTGAGTAGCGAAGGCAACGTGTGAATGAAATAAAAGGTCCCCCGTCGCCTCTTCTAGAAAGAGATAGGGGGATAGGATTTCTTTTTCCTTTTGTTATTTGGTTTCTGGGTTGAGTAATTCTTTTTTCAAGTGCAACTTCATTTTTGTCTTACTTTTAAAATTTAAGGATCCCTTTTCATTGGAAATTTGGATTGCAAGTTCATTTGTTTCTTGGCGAATTCGCTCGTCCGGAGGATACGTGGACCTCTCTAAAATTTGCCATCAACAACTATCAATGATACAGTAACAAAATGTATTAAAATTTATTATTATTTTAGTTAAAATATTAATACAATATTATATTGTAATTAGCTAAAAAGGAAAGGGTATATTAGTAGTTGTTATATATCTAATTCTTACTCAGGAAAGGTAAACAATATCAAGGAATAACATTTCTATTTCGATTGATTTCATTCTAATTCATTTGTATTTCGATTGATTCTTCTTAAACATAACCACAGAAGAAAAGTGGACGGTGAGAAAGAAGAATCAGAAGAGGAGAGATTTTTTTCCTATTAAGAGGCTTGAGAAAAAAAAATGAATAAAATTAGATTTAGAATTTAGATGTTGTTTTGGTATATTCTTCTACTGATTGGATTTATTTTTTAACTTTCAACCATAATTTTTGTATGAAAATTATTTCTCTGTCATTAACTTTTTTTTCTTAATTATTAGGCTTAATGTAATATTTTTATTATTATACATCTAAATTATTATGTATAACTTAATTAAAATAGTTACCTAAATTTCATAAAACAATATAACTTAAAATCTAAATTTTAGAAATGACAAGAAAAATCACTGAAATCTAGTTCTAAATGTATACAATTAGTGAAAAATGAGGAAATAGAAACTCGACTTACACATCTTCGGACTTAAAAACTCTTCACCCCAAATACATGCTTCAACACTCAAGGCTAAACTGTTGAGTTTGGTGTCCATGTGTTTGTAATTAATGAACAAATTATTTATTTATTTATTCAATAAAGAGTTATTTTTTCTTTGTATTACTCGTATTTCAATAAACTAATATCCAAGGTTATTTAATATAATTGGAACAATATATATTTGATATACGGTATATATATAATATATATTCGATATACAAGTGGATAATGTTCCAGTAATCACCTAAAGAGTTAATGTCTTGGACGAGATGTTTTAGAAATTTATTTTTACAAATATCTTAAGTTTTCAAATTTTACACTATTAGATTTCTGCATTTAA